AAAAATATCTTCTTGGCTATGGTTTGTGAGATTAACAGGATTTTTCTAGGATAGAGGATTTTTGTAAACGTGTAATGCAAAGATGTCAAACAGTGCAACAATCATGCATAAGTGGAAGTTCCAGAGAATACTGTCACACTCAGAAGCTCATGACCTTTGACCACAAGTTTTGACAGAAGATGATATGGATGACAGCTAATATGCCAACGGCTTTCCTTTAGACAACTGCAGAGAGTGGAGAAGCATTCAAGGATGCCAAAATCATTTAGGAGGGAGGGCAACAACTTGCTGTTTTCTCTGCAGGAAGTTCCTCAGTACATTGTTACACCTGGTTGTTTTGCCTCTTTGAGGATCCTGATTTTGTAATCATTTATTAAAAATAAATGCCTCCACCCCTTCTGCTCTCTCCTCAGATCCGGACTTTGCAGACATGGGAGTACCCCCACCTCTGCCCTGTAGGTATACTCCCTCACTCTCGTTCTGCCTCTGTTTCTTCCTTTTTATCTGTCACTTGTTTTCACATTTGCTCTCTCATTGCTCTTTTTGTCTCAATAAAACTATTTATACTAGGATTCCTCTAGTTATATACATACAATATTTGTGTTCTAGTTATCTAAATTATGTACATATGTGTACCTGTTTGGTATTTGTGAGCCCATGTGTTTGCTTGAACAACACTTGTGTATATATATATATGCATATGTGTTGTGTATATGCATGTGTTTGTGTGTGTTTATGCATATGTGTGTGTTTCAGCCTGTCAGTATGACATGGTTGGTCCAGAAGGTATCGTTGAGTCCCATCAGATCACGAGAGACGGGAAGGCTGGCGCCACAGAGGCCGTCGACTGTAAATGGTACATCCGTGCTCCGCCGCGCTCAAAGGTTAGTGACATAAGAAACGCTCCCATCCAACTGTGAATTAGATTTACTGCCAAATTCTGAAATGTCACATAAAACACAATGGAAATGAAATTGTGTCCCATTCAGCTGAGCTGATGACAGCATAACGCAGTTATGTCAGACAACAAATCAACAAGAAAAAATAGATGGTACAAGACTTTGACAAATACTGCGTGTCTTCATTCATTCCAGCTTCAAGATCTATTGAATATTTTACCCTATTAATTTGCTGTTTTCATTCAGCATTCTTTCACATGCAGTAAGATCAGGGGTTGCATCAGGAAGCTTTGATATTGCATGTGGGTTTGTCTGCAGCTGTCAGCAGTATCCCAATGTGAGTGTTCGTGGCTGCGGGGGAACTTGTTCCCCTGCTAGGGTCAGACAGATAGGCAGAAGGGTTTATTTGGGGTCAGGCCCATTTTTTTAATCAGCAAGCTGTTGCCAAGAGGAATAGAGGGATGGAAGGAGATAGAGAGAGGGAGAGAGAGAGAGAGAGAGAGGACCAGACAGACAGAGAGAGAGAGGGAAGGAGCGTTAGTGCTGATGAAATAGTGTTGCCATGCAGTTTGACCCTGAGGCCTGCTACAGCCTGCATTTGTTTTCTCTGCCAGTGTTCTCCACGCTGCCCTGCATACATATACAAATCCTGACACACACACACACACATACACATGCACACCTCTGCTACATCCCCAAACACACGGTAGACATGGTTCCTTATCTACCAGAGGTACCCGTGCTGCATTAATGCTAAAGGATTAAACGTTTCCCGAGGGTAGAGCAGCAGTGCAGGAAAAGGCCACATTTTACAAATGCTATAACTTCTCCTATGAGTCCATAAGGCTTGATCATATACGCACACACAGTCCAGTCCATGACTGCAGTAAATCTGCTGCTGAAATAGTGTTGGCCCTCTTCTGGGTGCATTTGCAAGGTGTTACACATTTTTACTTTGACTTTTATGGTTAGAACAATTCACTCAAGGACAGAAAGTATTATAAGGTCTACTTTTTGAGGATTTAAAGGGTTTGGTCACATTTACAATATTGTATTTGTAAAATGTGAGGTAAAATAGACCTGCAATTTATGTTGTAATGGCTTCAGGGATGTTCAGAAAACTAGTTCAACATTTTATTTGAGACCTTTTTAGTGGAAAATGTAAGAGACAATGAAAATAGACATGAAATGTATATAAGAAAAGCCTCCGTTAAACTTAACACTTAGAGGTTACTTGGAAAATCTGAAGTCAACACATATAAAATGGTGTACCTTATAGGTTTTTGGGCTTTTATTGATAGTGACAGCTGAAGATAAGCAGGAAGCAGAGAGAGAGGGGATGACATGCAGCCAAAAGGCCGCAGGTCAATTCGAACGCCTGGGCCGCTGCAGCAAGGACTTAGCCTCGGTACATGGGACGCCAGCTCTACCGTTGGTCCCAGGAATGAGATAAGGCAGCAGCAATGTCAGCTTAGCCGTGTCACTATTTGTTTCACTAATTCAACGCCTGTTAATGTTACAAGATGTTATCCTTTCCTTTTTGAGGCCACCACAGAGATCTTTTTAAAGTGATACACTCCACATTAGGGAAGCTATTAAGCTTTGTTCCATCCATGATAAAAAAAAACTGTGATTTGGTTCATAGTATTTTTTCATGCAGGTTTTTCATGCTGCAGGCTCTTGAACTGTAGACACACACTGGCTTATGATATGAATGGCTGATAATGTTGGCGTGACTGTGATTCATGGCCGCAGCACTTGCTTGGCTCTTATCTGACATATTCTTCGGGTCGCATATTTCTCGCTAATGCCTTTAGTTTTCCTTCAGAAATGCCCTTCAGATTCAGCTACTTTTAAGCCCCAAGGCTGCAGGAACTATAAGACTACGTCATCCGCCTCTCTTCTTCTCTTCACCATCAGCACTCAGGTGGAGCCATACAATAAGTAACAATGGAACAGGTATTAGGTGGAACCCCTGTCTGTAACGGTCGATTCTAAAAAGAAGCATTGATTCCTCAGTGTGGAGTGCGTAAGTCAGCCAGTACGTTGTGACTACGGCACCAAAGAGGACCATAAGTCAGTTTTGTGTGTCCCATACATGCCTCTGTAAATGTGTATGTGTGAGGCTGTATATGTGCATGAAAAAGCGACAGAGTGAGCAAGCCTGGCAGTATGATATATTTCATCTGGTCTGAATCAGTGTCATATTTCACCCTGCAGGAGTATCTCACTAGACAAGTCATGGGCCAGAGGCTGACAGTCATTGGCGGTGATGGACAAGCCGGCAAATAAAATTTTTAGCACAGATCTATCTTCAGTCATACAGTCCTGGAGCTCTTACCTATATCGGCACTGTTAACACTCAGTTAAACATTGAATATATAAAACTTACTGTATCTCTCTGTTTCTCACTTCCTCTCTCTTTCTAAAGCTCACACATGCATGCTCACATGTTACTGCAGTGAAACCCCAGCCCATCAATGTCTATGTGCATGCGTTGGGTTGTGCTGCGTGCAGGGCAGGGTTTTCATTTCCCTATGCTGATACAGTACTGCACTGTACCCAGTGTGCCTGAAACAGCAGAGAGATAATGACATCCTATACCAGAGGCTCTAATTAGACTGCACCGGAGCACTCCAGAGAGAAGGGAGAAGAGGGGGACAGAGGAGGAGAAAAAATGGGAAAGGAGGGGATAAGGGAAAGATATACTTAATAATGCATTTTGTCAGAGATCTAAATGTATAGGGATAAAGTTTAGGGGTGAGATAGCAGATGGCGGAGAGAGGGATGGCGTGAAAGGTAAGGAAAAGGGGAGACTGACTGAAAGATATACCTGCAAGTAAGCAATAATGACCATGTGTTGTTGCCAGAAGTGACAGCACTGCACCAATTTTAATGCCATAATGTGATTGCTTTACGCCACCATGTGTCATTTTAATTTCAGCTTCTCCTATAAATAGATTTCTCAGAAATTGCCCCCTTCCCCAAAAAAACAAACAAACAAACAAATTAGCTATAGCTGGTATCCAAAGTAATGTAAACAACCAACATGCAGTTAGTTGGTAGAGCCTGTGCAACACAATATCACCTTTACAATAAAGAGATAATCGATGTTTCAATGAAAAGAGTTTTACAAAATAACGACTCTCGTCAACTGCAGTCTGCGTTTTTCTAGTAACATTTCTTCTTCTTGTTGTTTTTTTTTCTGTTTGGACAGCTGTCTTAATTCAGCTGACAGCTGTAAGTTGTGGAGGAATATTTTTTAGTTGCCTCATGTTGACTCGTAACAGTTACTGCATTTTCCACAGACATCATTTGTGTCCTGTCTGTTTCTCACCACACCTGCCTGCACTGTCTGACACCTTCTGTATCTTTTCATGAAGATAATGGCCAAAATATGGACATTCATTCTGACTGTAATGAACACCACGAACAGAGTGAGAACATATTCTTCCCCAGTCAGTGATGGATTCTGCATCATTATTGGGCGCTGCAGAATCAATGAAGAGGCAGCCTATTTTCCTGCTGGAGCCAATCTTTCGTCCTACAAATTGGTGATTGTATCTATCTGATCCATTGCCATCATTTGGCTTTGTGATGCCATTTGTACTCTGATTTTTCTTCATCATTCTCCAGTTAGATCAGCTCAGCAACAAGAGCTGTAGAAAAACCAACACGAAAAGCTTTTATTTATGTATCTGTTGAGTTGGAAAATGTCTCTCTCAGATAATGAGGCCTTCCTGATTGCCTTTCCGGTCAAATCTAGTAACTGGCATCTATCAGACATCGCTGTAGTGATGGCAAAGGTTGAGCAGAGATATGACAGGCACGAGGAAGTGCAGTTATTATTTTTCCATGCTAAACTCAGCAGGATGCACAGAAGCAAAATGGAAACAATAGCAGTCTGTGTTACCATTTACACCATTTCATGTAGTAAAAATGATAAATTTTTGATTCAAGGCAGTCATCTTTTACAGCATAAAAGGGTGTATGTGGCAACAAGGTGTAAAGGCTTTTTCTTTTATCACTGTGTGCCCCCCCCCCCCCAAAAAAAAAACA